TGAGGCAAATGGAAGGTACATAATTCTCTTGATAGGAGGAAACACTGTTTTGATCAAGCATAAGACTTGGAGGTACAGGGCATGGAGGCAGGTGGGCACTGAGTGCTAATGACCCTGAGCGTTGCGAAGGCACAAGAGACAAGAGAGGAGAATTCTTGCTCTCAAAGAGCTAACAGCCTCTTTGGAGAGAAAAAGTATCAATAGCAAACAATGGGTGAATAAGGCAAGACAGGAATGACCAAGCTCGGAATACATGTGTAATAGGAAACTCAGGAGGAGAGCTCAGTGTGGGAGGAGGTGACGCCGGCATCACTGGGGCTTGAGGTACCAAGAACAGCAGCAAAGGAAGCGAGATGATGAATGACTGTCTTATGCCAAAAGAAGACCCAGAGGACCTCAACCAGCTGCCACCTCAGTACTCCCGAACAAGGAAAATCAGCTTGGATTTGATCACCATGATGCAGAATGATGTTAGGATGGCCTAGAAATGAAATCTGAAGACAGATAAAATGTACAGAGATACTCTTTAGAAAATATACTTCTTCAAATTAAACCCAGATCTTTTGATAAAAGGATCTAATGGTTGCTCTAAACATACTATAAATAAATCTAGAATTTCAGTAATAGGAGAAATGATCAGATTTATATATTAAGACACATGGAGAATAAATCTGATGGAACCATTAGGCAAGTCTAACCCCCTCTAACACCAGAGAAGAGATCTGATGATGATCACCACAGGCCAACAACACTGGCAGATTCTCAGACCTTCCCCTGGAGTCAGCTCTCATAAAGAATCGCTTTATCCTGTGACCTTCCAGCCACAGACAAATGGCTTTCACTTAATACTTCCTTCACAAGCAGGAAAGGTTACTTCTGTTTACTCTAACTCATTTTAAATAAAAAAGATCCCTTTATTAATTCCTACAAAGAAAACAACCCCAAGGAAGGAAGAAAGCAAGCAAGCTCTGACCTTTATTTGCTAAATGAGTTATTTCACCAATGGCTACATGTGGTTATGTCCTCACCATTCTGAGTCACAACCTGCTGTACCCCTTGGCATAAGAGGAACAGCTACAGCTTAAGGCTTAGTTGTGAGTGAGCAGAAAAAGAAAAATACAGGTAGAGAGAGACTTGAAAAAAGAGTGAAGGGTGGGGGAGGAGGATCCACAAGAAATCATTTCTCCTTTGAGAAAGAATGAATTGAATTACTGCAATATATTTTTTCTTTTCATGTCAACTTGGCTGCTAATGAGCCTTGTTGCCATAAGTTACCTGTTTTCTTCAAGGTGGCGGCAAATCTGAGGTGTAAACAGCAAAAGGTCTCTGGTTCAATCTGCTAATAGGTTTGCATTAACCTCCATGGAGACGCACAGACAGTGATCACATTATCCAAACCCACAACTTAGACGCAGGATCTAACAAAGGATGCTGTGCCTTGTCTCCAGGTGCAAGCAGCAACTTGGCAAATGTTGTTCCAATGACTAAATGGTAGAATTTCTGGGACATTTTGGTGTTACAAGGAGCAATCAGAAAAAAGAAAATTGAGTTTCTGAAAATCCAGGTGGTGATTACAACCCTGGAGTAAAATAACAATAGCAGATTTCCACATTTTATATTTTATAAGAAAATGATTCAAAACCCATAAAAAGAAATCAGTGGAAATAGATATTTAATACATTTAAAATATACAAATTTCTAAGGACCATGTAAAATGTAAAAATTATAACTTAAACTGTATCATCCTATTATTATTAGCAGACAAAATTTTAAAACATAAATATTAAAGAACTGAAGTCTCAAAGATGAAAAAAATTATCATGAATGTTGAAAGTGAGATCTTATTATGTGAACATTATTAAATGAGAGTTCTTAAAGTACATAAATGCTGTTGCCACTGAGTTGAGAATATATTTTCGTGCAAATTTCTTCACTGCTTAAAAAAAAAAAAGACCCTAATCAGAAAAATGGTGATATATTTAGGAGCTATCTCCAAATATTTCATTCCTCAAAGTTTAAAGATATTCCTCAAAGTCAAACATAATATTGTGTATTTGTGTGTGGGTGAGGGGATGAAACTTTCTTAGTTACTTCGAGATGTAGTTTGCTTGAAGGCAAGAAGCAAGCATTTCTGATTTGTTCTTCTCTTCCTTAGTTTGCTCCTATACGCCCAGCTGCCTGTGTCTGTTTCAAAACTCTCCTGTTGCAGTGGACATACCCTGAGGTGACTGCCCAGTGAGTCGTGCCCTCCCCTGAGTGCAGGCACAGACTGTGACTTGCTCCTAGCCAATGGAGCAGAGCAAAGCCATAGGGGAGAGTCACTCCCTTGATTAGGTTACAGTATGTAAGACTCTGTCCTAGCAGACTGGAGCCAGAGACTCTCCTACTGGCTTTGAAGTCAGCCACCATGTTGTGACAGAGCCTATGAGAGACAAACAGCCACATGACAAGGAATCATGAGTGGTACTTGGGAGATAAGAGCAGCCCAGGTGACAGCAAGAAAACAAGGGGACCTCAGTCCTACAACCTCAAATGAATTCCAACAACCTCATGAACTTAGAAGGAAAAAACCCGACCTCCAGAAAGGAACACAGCCCAGCAAACATCTTGATTATGCCATTATGAGACCCGAAGCGGAAGACCCAGCTAAGTTACACCCAGACTCCTGAGCCACAGAAACCGTGGGATAATCATTAAATGTTGTTTTAAGCCACTAGATTTGTAGTAATTTGTTATGCTGCAATATGTAACTAATGCACATGTGATAATCCACTTTGAACTCCAATAACAATTATTCTCGCAAAAACCGTTTGTGCTGCCAGTGCCATTTTCTTCCTCCATTTGAGGACAGCAGAAACATAGCAGAATGCTTTACAGATGTGTACACCTTTATCCAATTCAAAACCTTAATGCAGAATGTAATTATCTACATAAGAGTCTCAAAACATAAATTAATTCAGTTCAACATTTTCCAAATACTATTATTTTGGTACTTGAAAATTGGAGAGCATACCTTCAAACCATTTTCTATTGGGCATACTTCATTACTCTTTTAAATAAATTTTTTATTTTTGAACAGTTTCAGATTTGCAGAATTACTGTGAAGCTAGTACAGAGTTCTTGTATACCCCACTCCGATTTTCCACTATTATTATATCTTATATTAGGATGGTAACTTTTTCACAATTAATTAACAAATATTGACACATTGTTATTAACCAGACTCCATACTTTATTCAGATTTCCTTAAGTCTTTACATAATGCCCTTTTTCTGTTCCAGGTTCCCATCCAAATTATTACCTCACAGTTAATCATCAAGTGTCTGTAGGCTTCTCTTGGTTGTGACACTTTCTCAGACTTCCCTTGTTTTTGATAACCTTGACAGTTGTGAAGAGGACTGGTCCGGATGCATCTCTACTGAAATTTATCTTATGTTTTTCTCATGATTAGACTGGGGTAATATGTTTGGGAGGAAGACCACAGAGGTCAAGTGCCATCCTCATCACATCATGTGAAGGATGCCTACCATCAATACGACATACCACTGTGGAGGTTAACCTCGATTACTCAGCTTAAGGTAATGTTGTCAGGTTTCTCTGTTGTAAATTCCTTTTTTTTTTTAATTTACTCCCTTTCCATACTATATACTTTGGAAGAAAAAAATCTGTGCAGCCGCCATCTGGAATCATGCTTTACTGCCTGAAAAGTGGAGTATCTACATACATTATTTGGAATTCTTCTGCATAAGAGATTTGTCAATTTTCCTCATGTATTTATCCAATCATATACTTTTATTAGAATAGATACTTATTTTCTCAGATTTGTGTTAATCTCAATAGTATATTTTGTTGCTCGAATGGTTCCAGCTTTGTCAGTGGGTAGCATTTTCAGTTGGCTCCTGCATCCTCTCTACACACATGATGTCACACTCACCATTATGAGATTATTTGTTTTAAGTTTTATCTTTTTTCCTCTAGTAGTTCCTTATTTTCCGGCACTGTGAGATATTCCAGGTTCATTTTGCATATTTCTTGTCCCCATCCTCAATCAGCCATTTCTCTGGTAGTTTTTATTGAGAAACAGTATTGAAACCAAGATTTGGATGCTAGGTGCATGTATGGCTACTGGAGAGTCACTGCTTCTAGACCAAACCAGTTTTTCAGTCTCTAATATGGGACCTTGGAATATCCCTACATGCTTAATTTATTTTAATTTATTCAACAAACATTTTACAGAAATTACTATGTACCAGTCATTATTTCAAGTATTTTGTAAATATTCACTCACTTAATGCCTGTAATCACCTCATAACAATAACAACATAGGTAGTGTTACTAAACCCATTTTATGGACAGAAAAACTGAGGCACTGAAAGGTTTGGACCTGTGCCCAAAGTCATGTAGCTAGTAAGTGGCAGAGCCAGGCACTGAACACAAGCATCTGGCTCCAGATTTGGGGCACTAACCAGTGTACCATATTGCCTCACACTGGTGAGGGTCTCGCAGAGCATAAAATTGATGAATTAATTAATCCACCCATTCATTCTCCAACAAATTTCTATTAAGTGCCCATTAGGTGCTAAACTCTGCTAGATGTTAATTGGGGCTTAATGCCATTTGAGATACATCTTGGGCTGTGGCCCAGTTTAAAAGGGAAGAAGAAGCTGTTGTAACGTGCCCCTTGAGAGGACTCTGGCAGCTGCCTGGGATGAAGACAGTACATAAAAGCCACTTCACTCGGTGGCTGCAAATATACTTCTCTGTGCTACAGGTGATAGTCAAGAGTGCCAGGCAGTGCCTTATTTATTTCATTTCTATTTTCCTTTTCACAAATTTTAGAGAGGGAGCTATTATCTTTCCTATATATGAAATTCCCATTTATTACACTACTATTCACTGATAAAATATTTGAATGAAACTGTCTCTGGTGAAAACCATTGTGCAAAACCGAGATTTCCATTTACAGATGACTGAAAAGAGAATTTAAAATGTATGCTTACTTTATGAGTATCTCCGGTGGGTGGTTCCAAGGGACCAAAGCTGAGATGATCTAAAAGAAAACAGGCAAAATAACCATGCTGAAAGCAAATGTCTTACAGGATGCTTTCAAGGTCACGTATCCCCACGTATTTCAGTGGCAGAGCTCTGTGAGGCTCCCCATGACTTGGCTTTACTTGTCAATAACACATTTTGGGAAAGGGAGTACAGGTGGGGTAGAGGCGGGACTCTCCAAAAAGGACAGGCCTAGAGAAGAAGGCAGGGTGACACGACGGGCAGTCTGACATTGACTCTGACTGATAGTTACAAACTCCTTGGAAGAGGATATAGATCCAAGGGAAGGGATAGGGATAGTCAAGAACATGGGTCTTCATTTTTCAGTTCAGAGCAAGCATCAAATTAACCTCTTTTTAGATACACCAAACTTTAGATATTTTCCAAAAAGAATGAGCAGACACAGTGCCATAATGCAACAATAAGAAACCATAAAAAAATAGGTGAATAAGTGGGAATGATGTATTGGGTATAGTCACAGTTCAGAAGAAAGGAATGATCAAAGGGGTCAGCCTGGGAGCGGGCTGTATCAGAGATAGCCTGAGAGGAGCCTGGCTCGGAGGGTCTGACTGAGAAGGCTTGGAGAACGGGGGTGTGATCTACTGAATCCCACAGCCAATGGACACAGAGATGGGCGTGGTCTCTCAGATTCTGCTTCTGGTTTTTATAACCTCTCTTTGAGAACATGTGTATTTTAGAACCTCTGGGAGCACTAGTCTAGACGATCTAATTAGCCTATCTAATACAGTTTCAAAACTATCAACAGGGTCAAAGCCCTCTTGGGAGATCTGTTTAAAAAAAAATTCCAACTCATATCATTTAATTCTTAAATATCAGAGTGTTACTGTTATTAGGAATAAAAACCAAGAAATTTTCAATTGAGTTTCTAAAAATCTTCCCTTTTTTCTAAAAAAATTCAATTGTAATAATTCAAGAAGAAAATGTGTTCCAAATGACATGTTAGGAAAAAAATGTAATATTCCACCAATTTCTATGTATCTGATGATGTACAATCATTGCAAAATGCATCTCAGTTAATATACCAAAGACTCATATTCCTCCAAGCATTTAACAGAGAACTGAATACAGTTAAAGATGAACTCGGAACTTTACCAGTTAATAAATTTGTCCTTTTGAACATAGATAGAGGCAGTATATTTCAGTGGTAAGGACCTCAGCAATACTGAACTTTTGGATGTTCCACAAATAATTGCTATACTATTTTTAATTCTGGCAATATGAGAATTCTGATCTAAGACACAGTCTTAGTTTTTTTCTTACTCAAAATAACTTGTACATTTTAATAATACAGATATTTAAAAGATATGAATTTTGGCTTATAAAATGTAATCTTTCAAGTATGATTTTTTTTTAACTAGAAGAAAACCTGTGAAATGGTTTTTGTACATTTTCCTTTATATCACAGTTACTTTGTTGACAAACAAGCACATTGCAATTTGAAAATTGATAATGTCATTTGCAGCAACATAGATGGACCTGGAGATTGTCATTCTAAGTGAAGCAAGCCAGAAGGAGAAAGACAAATATCATATGATATCACTTATATGTGGAAACCAAAAAAAAAAAAAAGACACAAATGAACTATTTGCAAAAAAGAAACAGGCTCACAGACACAGAAAACAAACTTATGGTTACCAGTGGGGAAAGGGGGCAGGGAGGATAAATTAGGAGTTTGGGATTTGCAGATACTAACTACTATATATAAAATAGATAAACAACCAGGTACTACTGTATAGCACAGGGAACTATATTCAATATCTTTGAGTAACCTATGATAAAAAAGAATGTGAAAAAGAGTATATATATATGTGTGTGTATAACTGAATCACTATGCTGTACACCAGAGATGAAGTAACACTGAAAACCAACTATACGTCAATAAAAAAAAAGAAAA